GCATTAAGGAAGCTACCAAGAATCTTATACAGAATCCTGAGTGTTGTAGTTCAGTTTCAGATCATCTTTGCTGTTTAGTTTGTCCTTAGTCATTCTCATCAGTTCATCTCTTTTCTTGCTTCAGAATAAGTCACTTTCCTTGGCTCGCTTGTATCCTCAGTACCCCACATACATCCCCCATTTCTTCTACCTGGCACAGATATTGAATCTATAACCCAGCATTACTTCAGCATAGTACCTCTGCCTCTTTTTTCTTTTTTCTCTTTTTCTTTTACAAATTCAGAGTAGGTGAAAGATCTTATGACCTTGTCCTTTTCTTGCATGGCCTCCTCCTCTTAGCTTATGAAAGACATTGTCTCAGTACCATATTCCACCATGCCAATACAGTTGTTTCTTAAATCCAGTCATGATTGCATTCAAGCCTTGCTTTAGACCTTTTCATGGTTCCCTATTTACCAGTCTCATCTCAGACACGTTAGCATGGGACCAAGGTTCTTTATCATCTGGCCACCCACCATCTTTCCAGCCTCATCTCTTGTCATATATCTTATTTTCTGAAATTGAAATATTTATAGATTATTTCATTTAGCTAAGATGTACTGAGCACCTATTATGAACTAGGCACTGTTCTAAGCATTGGAATCATAGCTGAAGGACAGACACAGCTGATATTCTCATTCTTTGAACATATGCACTTTTGTGTCCCCTTTTCTCATCCAATTCCCTCTTCAGAATACTACCATTTCTCTTCCCTGCTTCGCAAAATCTTATACAGTTTGCACAATTCAGTGCAAAGGTTACCACCTATTGGGGAACCACCTAACCTTCCACACTTCCAGCAAAATGTGTTGCTTTATGTTCAGGATTTACAAAGCACCATTCTTGCCACTGTTGTAGAACTTGTCACACTTTATGGTTTTGTTTGTATCTCATCTTCCCTGCTAAATCATCCGCCACTTGCAGCCTGGACTATGTCTCATCGTAGTCCTGGTACAGAACAGGTGTTTGGTCAGTGGTCATTTAATTGAATTGTCTTTTGCTTCAGTCATGTTTCTAGGGCCTGCATTCACTGTTAGACTAGGCCTTCCTGGCTTCACGCTTAGATGATAGTAGCATTTGGTTGACTCATCTCTCTTCTTCTCATAGACTTAACTTTCTTTTTCTTATAGACTTAACAAATGTTTGAGTTTCTTCTGTGTTGCAGACACTACATTAGGCATGGGGAATAGAAAGATTAGTAAGAAACTCCCTCACTATAATGAACTCACAGCCTAGTGAGAAGGTTTGAGAAATAAATGGTCCATTACGGTGTAGATGTATAAAAAGTACTGTGGCAAACATCATTACAAGATCTGTGGGAGGTGCACCTTGGGTAGGTCACAGAAAGCTTCCCAGAAATGATGTCCAATTGGAGCCTGAAAAGACAAGTATTATAACCCAGTGTGGCTTCTGTCCAGAGAATGAGGTGGTAGGAGATGGATGTGGGAAAGAATGACAGATGAATGAAGGATCTTTCAGCCATCCGAAGGCAATGGGGAATTAGTTGGGAAGTTCTAAAGAGAGTAATACATCAGGTTTGTAATTGAGAGAATGTTCTCTCTGCAAACAAGAAAAGGGGATTGATAGGGAGGGGAATAACACATGCACGGCTGTATGTTCTGTACAGCTGTCATAGTAACCAGGCCAGAACCAACGGTGCTTGGACTAAAGTATTAACAATGGCCAGGAAGAGTAGGTGCATGGTTCTTCTGTTTTTTTTTTTAAATAAGGATGTAAAATTTATGTCTGTGGCTTGTGGTCAGAGGGTTAGGTAGGGGTCTGGCAGTGAGGAAGCCAGGTCTAGGAAAATACAGGTTTCTGATTTGGGCAGTGGTGTAGACAGTATTACTGTTCCCTAGGAATGCAGGAGAAGAAACTAGACTGGGTTTGGGGACCCATTTCCCATTGGTTTAAGTTCCACTTAAAGTGTGCCTCCCGTGTAGCTGGGATTACAGGTGTGCACCACCACGCCTGGCTAATTTTGGTATTTTTAGTAGAGACAAGGTTTCACCATGTTGATCAGGGTGGTCTCAAACTCCCGACCTCTGATTCACCCACCTCAGCCTCCCAAAGTGCTGGGATTACAGGTGTGAGCCACTGCACCTGGCCCAAATGTACTTTCTTGAGGACGTTTTAAGCAGAACTTAAACCAGTTAAAGTGGGGCTCAAATCAATAGTGAGATCTAACTGGAAACAGATCCTAAAGTAATTGACAAAAAGATGGGAGATGGAAGCCTTGGGAGTGGATGCAGTTTCCTATTTATGAACTTAACCGATGTTTACTGGCCATCTCTCATGCTCTGCACTAGGAACTAGGAATCTGAGCAGTGAGTGACGTTGGGGTATGGTCCTTGATGCTGTGGAGTTTATTGTTTAGTGACAGTAGAAATACCTTAAATACAGTTGGACAAAGTACTTATTGTAGTTGCGATAAGTGCTGATGTGACAGATCTAACTTATCCTGGAGAGATTGGGCAGGTATCCCTGAGGAACTGATGTTTCAACTTAGTACTAAAGGAAGAAAGGGATATGTAGGGGAGATTTTGAGGCAGAAGACAGCCTGACTTCTTCAAGGAGTAGAAAGAGGGCCTTCAAGGAATAGAGAGTGTGAGTGGAAGGTAGAGAGCAGGAGGGAGCGTGATGAGGCTGGCAGGATGGGCAGGCCCCAGAGAGTGCAGCTCCTCATAGGAAGAAAGGATTTTGAACTTCCTCTTAAGGACATAGAGAACCGTTTAGTAGTTTTAAGCAGGGAAGCAGCATGCTGAGATGTATCTGTTGAAAACATGACTCTCTGGCTGTTGTGCCCTCAATGGGTTGAAGGTGGCGAGAGACGATTGGAGTAGCCCAAGCAAAGCAAATGTTTGCAGAGAACAGGGACTGAGGATGAGCCCTGAGGAGTCGGTGGGGGCACTCATAGGAAGAACTGTCGGAGACTGAGACACACTAGCAAGAGAGGCAGTCAGAAGATGCAAAGTGTAAATCATGGGAACCAGAGGAAAAGATGATGTCAGCAGGAGAGTATTAGCAAGTCAAAGAACTGGAAAGAATCTACTAAATTTAGTAATGGAGGGTTATTGATGCCCTTAGAGCAGCCTCTGAGAAGAGCTAAAAGAATGAATTGAATGAACCAGGCCGGGCACGGTGGCTCATACCTGTTGTAATCCCAGCACTATGGGAAGCTGGGGCTGAGTTCGGGAATTCGAGACCAGCCTGGCCAATATGGCAAAACCCCGTCTCTACTAAAAATACAAAATTAGCCAGGCGTGGTGGTGCATGCCTGTAATGCCGGCGACTCGGGAGGGTGAGGCAGGAGAACCACTTGAACCCGGGAGACGGAGGTCGTGGTGAGCCAAGATTGTGCCATTGCACTCCAGCCTGGGCAACAAGAGTGAAACTCTGTCTCGAAAAAAAATAAAGAATGAACTGGAGGTAAGAAAGTAGAGTCAAATAGTATGGACAATTCTTCGGTGAATCTTAGCTTTTAAGAAAACAGAGCCACGTGGGTATAAGCGTGATTATAATTTAAAAAAAAATTTTTTTTGAAAAGACCAATTACTATTGTGATAGTAATTTTTTTTAATTTTGATGAGGTAATATATGCATGTAATTTTAAAAAGTGAATGTTATAAAAGGTCAGATACTGACATCTACCCCATGACCTAGTTTCAGTCTCTCATTCTTAGCAATTTAATATGTCTTTTAGAGATTCTCTACATATACAAGGGTTTATATCTCAAAGGAGGTTTAGTTTTATTTTGCTTTTAAAAAAATGGAGCCTGTTTAAATGCTAGTGATAACCAGCAGAGGGAGATACTGAAGAGACAAGAAGAATTGACTGAGGAAGTGCATCTCTCCTGTTTTGTCTACATCTGCCTTCTCTCTAGCTACATGGCCATGGAAGGCTAGAAGATAAGGCAGTTTATGCCTAGTGGTTTCCATTTTCTCTTTGCATTCGGAACAAAGGTCATACGCCACTGAAAATAACACAGGAGGTAGGGGATGGGGACCTTGAGAAAGTGGAGGAGGTCTGAAACAGCCAACTTTGGAAATGGAAAGAATTCTGTGGTGGGGAACAAAAGGGTTGTTACTATTAAGAATTTATATCAAGGGTCAAATTGAACTAATGGTGTTAATTGTAGTAGTACTTAGTCTCAATGCAAGGTGATTTTTCCGCAGCATTGTTGTTGCTACATCACCCCTTCATACAGAATAATTTCTGACAAAACTGTAGGTGTTTAAGATAGTTCAGTGAAGAACAAGATCCTCTGTGCACATTGATGGACATGCACATAGCTTAGTAAGCTAAGCTAAGTAATAAATATTGCCTATAGCTTTGGTTTCTTAAAGTATACAGGTACTTTTATGTTTCAAGAACCACCCCTATACAGCATGGCACAAATTAACAATAGTCCACATCTGACAATAGATTAATATTCCTAAAACACTGATTGAACCTAGAGTGGGTAAGAACTAGAATAACGTAGAAATCATTAGACTATAATCTGTGGTTTAGAGATTGGGAAAACAGAGCTCTGAGAAAAGACTTTAACAATGTCCTGTGGCTCACTTTTTACACTTCCTACTCCATCAGTTACTGCCATGAAAATTCAGTGATTTTCCATTGACTGTAATAGTTCTCAAACTATGCTTCCCATGGAACCACTGGTGTTTTCATAATCAAATTCCAGTTATTCATTTAAAAATTGGGCCTCATTCTGTTGCCTGCAGTAGCCTGATCTTGGCTCACTTCAGCCTTGACATCCCAAGCTCAAGTCATCCTTCCATCTCAGCCTCCTGAGTAGCTGAGACCACAGGAATGTTCCACCACATGCTGCTAGCTTTATTTTTTTTGTAGAGACGAGGTCTCACTATGTTGTCTAGATTGGTCCCCAACTCTTGGGCTCAATCCTCCTGCCTCAGCTTCCCAAAGTGCAAGGGTTACAGGTGTGAGCCACTGTGCCAAGCCAGATTCAGGTTATTTTAATACTCATATTGAATATGATGATTATTTCAAAATTGGCAGAAAAAATTCGTGGAAAGGCAAATTTTTTTTTTGTCTTCCAGAGTTTTGGTGTTTGCTGCCGCTTGTTGGCTTATAGACAGGAGATGACAAAACAAATACTGAGAATCTATGAATTACTACCTCCAAGTTTATCAGCTTTTATTTCCCTTAAGAATTCATACAGTTACTGTTGTGATTTGTTTATTGCATACCTTTTGGTTCTCAGATTTTTTTGTTATATATTCAGAAACATTTAGTCAGAGCCTAAGATACAGTGGGCAGTTGTGCTCATTTGGGGCCTGTAAAGAATAAGATTCCATCCCTTCCTGCAGATAACTGAGAGTTTAAATTGGAAATGGGAACAAAAAGGAGTTGGCAGTGATCAGTTCTTTTTGGGTATGAGGAACGGGAAAGACTTCATCGAAGAAGTGATATTTACACTGTTTTAAAAGATGAGACAGGCATTCATTGGGCAGTGGGAAAGGCCCTCCTAATAAGGAAGAACTTTGTGAACAAAGCAGCAAAGGCATCAAAAGGACTCACATGTTGTTTATTGTGGCCAGTAGTGTGTGTTATGTGAATGAGGCCATCACGGGAGATGGAGCCAGGGAGGCATCAGGGAGCAGTTCCAGAGTGGCTTGCTTTCTGAAAAGAACTTTCAACTTTATTCCTTAGGCAGGATAGAAAACCATTAACAATTTTTAAACCAAAAAACAGCAGAATAACTGGTTCTGTGGATTTTTTGTTTTTACAGAAAACTCTATGGTAAAGGAGGATAGAGTGTTTGAAGCTGTAAGTCTGGAGTAGGAAAACCAGTTGGAAGATTAATATAGTAATACAGGGAAGAATTGAGGGCCTGAAGTGACTAACACTATAAAAATAGAGACAGGAAGAAGTCCATCTCTAAAGAAACTTGGTGATGATTGGATTGAGGAGAAGAAGGAATTGAGATAACCTGGTTTGTGGCTTGTGTGAGCAGGTGGACAGGTAAGATTCACCATGATGAGGAATACAGAAAGAATCCGATGTGAAAGGACAGTAGTGAGTTCCATGTGGACAGGTTGCTTTAAGAACCATCTGGTAGGCTATTGGATATATTGGGTTGCAGATAAAGCTTGGAGAGTCATCAGCATATAATTAATAATTAAATCCCTGGGGTGATAAGGTTGTCCAAAGAGATCAGAGTAGGAAATCTCTAAACCCAGAATCTAAATATCCTGAAATTACCCAAAATGTTTTATATGTGGTTTTTGTTAGAGAAAGGTCCATTGCTTTCATCAGATTCTCAAAAGGGACAAACATGTTTATGTGAAAAGGGGTGCCAGACAGGGTCCTGAGTGTCTCCATCATGTAAGTGATGGGCAGGGGAAGCAGTCTCAGCAAGGAAAATACAGAGGAGCAAGAAGGAAGTCTAAGAAATGGTTAGATGGTGGCTGTTGCCTTAGGTCAAATAAGAGGAGGGCTGAAGAGTCCATGGGTTTGGCAATTAAAAGATTTGTAAAATTGTTCCTAACTAACAAGATGGAGTTAAATGTACTCCCCCAGAGGCACCATGGTTTCTGAAAACTTTAAGAACCACTGGCCTACAATAAAGTTCAAGTGTTTCAGCCAAGTAAGTGTTATGGTTGTCTAAAATTTGCTCTTGCCTTAGCATTACAAGTTTCAGCTTGTTTCAGCATTCCAAACCTTAGAGCTAGGCAGTTCCATCTCTTCACTAGTTTTTGGATATTTCATGCAAATCTTAGCTCCCAGCTTTTGCCCATGTTTTTCATCCTCTCTGCCATGTTCCCTACTCAATCAGTGGTCTCACTCCTTCACAGTGTAGTGTGTTCTGCTTTCTTTCTTCCCTTTTCTGATTGACCTGTATTGATTTCCCTCTTTATATTCTGGTGATAGTGTCTTCGTTGCAATTTATTTCACATGCTACTGCTGCCTTTTCCCAATGAAGTTTTATTCCTAAAGCCTAGTAATATATTTCCTCATACCCCTTTGTGACCAAGCTTTCATATACTTATAGATTCTGAAATATTTGAATGACTTTAACTGACACCAAAGATGGGGATTTGGAAATGTTTTTTTTTTGTTGTTTTTTGTTTTTTGTTTTTTTTTGAGAGGGAATCTTGCTCTGTTGCTCAGACTGGAGTGCAGTGGCATGATCTTGGCTCATTGCAACCTCCGCCTCCCAGGTTCAAGTGATTGTCCTGCCTCAGCCTCCCTAGTAGCTGGGATTACAGGTGCCTGCCACCATGCCCAGCTAATTTTTTGTATTTTTAGTAGAGATGGGATTTCATCATGTTGGCCAGGCTGGTCTCAAACTCCTGACCTCATGATTCACCTGCCTCAGCTGGGAAATGTCTTGGAGAAAAACTTCATATGATGTATTCCAAATTACATGGGAGTGATTTATGGATCATTTTTACCAGTTGGATTCATTTCTATAGGTAATCAAGAGTTGATTACGTATCAGAGTAAGATTAATATAATAAGCTTATGAACCTTTTGGCTTTTATTTGGCATTTTAGCTCATTGAATTTGTGTCTTAAAGTGATTGAAAAATTTTTCAAAGTGGAAATGTCTTTTTTGGGTTGTAAGAATAAAATATGCTTATAAAATAAAAGTCTACCAAGTTGAAGTAAAATCTTACTAATATTTCTCTACTATTCTGCCATAAGCATTCATGTTTCATAAGTATATTTCCTGTTCATAAATTCAAATAGGTACTAATGTGATTAGCATGTAAAATTTGGTCATTTAAAATGCAAATAATTCATCTAAAATTAAATACAATTATTTTGGAAATAACTTCAGTGGCAGATGTTTTTAGTGTTCCTGGATGATTTAATCATTGACTTAAATCCACCATTTCTATTTCTTTCATTGTTTGCTGGGAACATTTGGCATAACCCAAGGCTATGGTAGGAAAAACTGCAGCCAAAAAAAGAAAAAGAAGACCACGGTTGTATTGCTTTATTCTAGCATCAGAAATATTTTAAATGTTTAGAATTAAGAGGACTAGAGAAATTAGATGCTGTCAGTTGGATCTCATATCTGCTACAATGTGAACAGATACCGACTAACAGCAGTCCTGAATTGTAGCGGTGACTTCAAAGGAGTGAGAAATCCTTAGGCCTTAGTGGGGCTCAATTTGAAAAATACTTAAATGCATGTCTAGGCTTTTTTTTTTTCCTGGAACCACAATATGTATTTCCACAAAATTACACTTTTTGTGCATATCTGCACACCATCATTTAATCACATTTTTTAAGAGAAGAAAACTTTGACCAATCTTCAGAACAAAGCAAAGTTCTTTAAATTCACAAGGAATACTGCTTGTTGAATAGAAGATAATGAAACAAGACATTAAGATGCAGATAGTGGAGATAAAATAAGCCCACTACTGGGTGGGTGGTGCCTGGTTCCTGCACAGCTGCCTCATGGTATTCCTCAGCCCAGTTTGTGCCTCAGCAACATGGCAGATACCACATGGCTTAGAACTTTTGTCATTAATCCATTATGACTATTAAAACAAGTGTCATGGACATCCTTTATAATAAAAACTTTCTTAACTTTTTCAGGGAAAAGCAGTTATCTCAAGATTTTTCAGTAGCTGTGAATTAAAATGATAATGTAACTGTCCAATGCAGTTTAATCATCTTTTTATTTCAGAAGAAATTTTATGATCTAATGTTACTGCTTGGACATGTGGATATGTTATTCCAGAAGACAAAAAAAATCACTGAGACTTTCCTTCAAAATTTATTAGACACATTTAACCACATTTATTTATTTATTTATTTTTGGGACAGAGTTTCACTCTGTTAGCCAGGCTAGAATGCAGTGGCACAGTCTCAGCTCACTGCAACCTCCACCTCCTGGGTTCAAGTGATTCTCCTACCTCAGCCTCCCAAGTAGCTGGGATTACTTGGGAGGTTCCTTCCACCGTGTCTGGGTAATTTTTTGTATTTTTGTCATATTGGCCAGGTATGTCTTGAACTTCTGACCTCAAGTGGCCCACCTGCCCCAGACTCCCAGAATGCTGGGATTATAGGTGTGAGCCACTGTGCCCGGCCTTAACTGCCTTTTTAAAAAGAAACTTAAGATGAATGGTATTGCCTTACTTCAAGGAAAGGAAACATAGTAATTGGAGTAAAAAGACAAGATACCATGCTGCCTTGTTGTCAAGGCATCGAGGCCAACACCAGTCTGAGGAATAAATTAGAATATTCTTTGGCTTAAGTGCCTGCTATGTAATCCAGTCATGGGTGAGTCTAAATCAGCTAGAAGAAAGCTGTCCAATAGCATTGTAATGTAAGCTGCAGACGCCATTCAACATCTACGAATGTAACTATCCACTATATACAAAATATTATTTCAGCCTATAATCAAGATTTTTTTAAAGTTAGAGATACTTAGTGTTCTTTTTTTTGTACAATACTAAGTCTTCAAAATTCAGTGGTTTTTTTTTGTTTGTTTGTTTTTACATTGTGTTTTGTTTTTTTGAGGCTGAGCCTCATGCTCTGTAGCCCTGGCTGGAGTGCAATGGTGAGATCTCAGCTCACCGAACCTCTGCCTCCAAAGTTCAAGCGACTCTCATGCCTCAGCCTCCCTAGTACTGGGATTTCAGGCACACACACCACAGCTGCCTAATTTTTGTGTTTTTGTTAAAGATAGGGTTTTCCTGTGTTGCCCAGGCTGGTCTTGAACTCCTGGGCTCAAGCGATCCACTCACCTCGGCCTCCCAAAGTGCTGGGATTATAGGCCTGAGCCACCATGCCCAGCCTCAGTGTGTATTAAATTTGAAGCACATCTCAATTCAGACCACATTTCAAGTCTTCAGTAGTTACATGTGGCTGTATTGGACAGTTCATCTCTCTAGAACATTTAGAGAATGTATGCCCATTATGTTGAGAAATGAGTTCTCTCGTATCTGGTGTATGCTACTAAGTTATGGACATTAAGAATGCCTGCATCGATGCTGACCAAGTAAGCCACTAACCTGGGTCATAAAGAGTTAGCTAGCTTTGGGACCATCTGTTTCCATGATCAAAATAAATACATCTCTGTTTAACCGAAATCACCATTTAGTAACATATTCATAAGTTTCAGTACCTTTATCTTTTTCCAGGTAAAACTCTTTAGCCTCTTATCAAACATGTTATGCCATATCTAAATTCTATATTTTATGTAATATAAGGAAAAGATCGTTTTATTTGTATGATTTGTACTTCATGTGTTAGGAACCTGTGACTACATGTTCTGAACTGTTAGTAAGAAAAATGGTGATGGATACCTTACTCTTTACGATTTTTAATTATTTTCAGTAAAACTGGGAAATAACCATCTGATTTGCATTTTATTTTCTTTTGTATTTTAAGGATATGGAATATTATCTTGTGAAATGGAAAGGATGGCCAGATTCTACAAATACTTGGGAACCTTTGCAAAATCTGAAGTGCCCGTTACTGCTTCAGCAATTCTCTAATGACAAGCATAATTATTTATCTCAGGTAAATAAAGGCAAAGCAATAACTCCAAAAGACAATAACAAAACTTTGAAACCTGCCATCGCTGAGTACATTGTGAAGAAGGCTAAACAAAGGATAGCTCTGCAAAGATGGCAAGATGAACTCAACAGAAGGAAGAATCATAAAGGGATGATACTTGTTGAAAATACAGTTGATTTAGAGGGCCCACCTTCAGACTTCTACTACATTAATGAATACAAACCAGCTCCTGGAATCAGCTTAGTCAATGAAGCCACCTTTGGTTGTTCATGCACAGATTGCTTCTTTGAAAAATGTTGTCCTGCTGAAGCTGGAGTTCTTTTGGCTTATAATAAAAATCAGCAAATTAAAATCCCACCTGGTACTCCCATCTATGAATGCAACTCAAGGTGTCAATGTGGACCTGATTGTCCCAATAGGATTGTACAAAAAGGCACACAGTATTCACTTTGCATCTTTCGAACTAGCAATGGCCGTGGCTGGGGTGTAAAGACCCTTGTGAAGATTAAAAGAATGAGTTTTGTCATGGAATATGTTGGAGAGGTATGTTAATTTGCCATGTAGCAAATGATGGGTATGTAAGTTTTGTACTTTTAGAAAATTACTTTTTTATCTCTGTAACAGATGTGGTACATTTTGATATTTTCATTTGCAGATATGTAGAAATTCATTTTCAGATTTAGAAGAGTTCACTGGCATATTTAGAAATAAAAAACATATGAACAAAAATATATGTTTTAACAATTCGATATAGTCATCTTTCAACAAATACACATTTCTGCTTATGAAAGCTAGCATTTGTAAAATTTAAAATATGACAGCTTTTTTACCCAAAAGTCCTAAGAAGAAAGTCAGATTTAAAACTTGAAAGTTGTAATTTCTTTCATCTATTTGACCAAATATGGTTAAGTGTAGTTGGCAGAACTCTATTTTGTATCAAATGAAAGATAGTATATTTATGAGTATTGTATAATATATGCAAAAGCCTGTATTGCATCCATAAGAAAATTAGACTTGTACATCTGTAACTCAGTTTTGAACTGTGAAGACCATTCTCAAAACAACCAAATACTAGCAAATTTACTTTTATGCAAATCATATATATATATATATTACATTTATATATATATATATAATATATATATATTTAAATGTAAAAAGTATTTGCCATGTGTCGCATACTATTCTGAGCACTTGATGTATTAATTCACTAATCCTCTCCACAACTCAGTACTTTTTTTGAGAGATAGTACTATTATGTCCATTATTTTAGAGAAAGAAATTGAGCACCTTGCCCAAGGTCACATAGGTCACACAGTAATAAAATAAGCAAGATGCAAAGCTCAGAATCAGTAGTCTTCACCATGGCACCACACTGCTTAGAACTGAAGGGTGGGTTGAGCTGTAACTAGAAAGATAAGAGCGTGGCTGCAAATCTGAAGTTGTCAACTCCGGTTTTTTTAGTTGGAATTGGGTCACCTATAATTATCTGTATTTATCTAGAATTCTGAAATTAGATGTCTGTTTTAATTTGTTATACTTTTAAGGCAGTGGTAAATTATTGTAAATTACTATTCAGTATACAAGATCTTGCATAATCAAATTACTCTTTTCGTTAACCAAAATTTTAAGTTGCATTCCTAATGAGTGCAGCAGCCAAATTTGGTTGTTAACATAAAGTACTTTAGACACTTTGGGTTTCTTAAGCTGAGCATGTCATAAAACTGTGTTCTTAAGAGCAGAACTATAGATGATGATTTTGAACTTACAGAATTTCATGAAAATAACCTATTCAACAAAACAAAGCTTTCCATTCCCAGAGTTAACATAGCTTCTCCCCTGTATTTTTAACAATTTTCCATTCGTAACTGCATATAGATAAGTTACAGGAAAAATGTGCCTGGATCATATTTAGACTATATAGTTGCAGATTTAGTCCTTAACGTTCAGTTGTGTCCTTTAGCGAGCTATAGCTTTTTGAACATCCTAATTATAATGAAAGTAATGCACTGTTTCAACTTACTGTCTCAAATCCTGCTTAAAAAGTCATAAATCATCTGGGTACAGTTAATCCCAGCACTCTGGGAAGCCAAGGCTGGAAGCTTACTTGAACCCAGGAGTTCCAGACCAGAGTGGGTAACATAGTGAGACCTCCATCTCTACAAAAACTAAAACATTAGTTGGGTGTGGTGGTGTGCACCTGTGGTCCAGCTATTCAGGAGGCTGAGGCAGGAGGATCACTTGAACCCAGGAGTTGAAGGATGCAGGGAGTCATAGCACCACCGCATTCTAGCCTGAGTGACAGAGAAAGACCTACTTAAAAAAAAAAAGTAATCTTTTGCATTAGCATTTTTCCTCTCCTCATTTTCCCACCTCTTTCCATCTGAGTCTTAGTTTGTGTGAATGTTTGCTTTGATGACCCTTGAATTTCTTACTTTTTAAATGTTTGTAGGCATTCACATATTAATAGGTATGCAGATGAATGCTTCTTTAGTTCAGCAATAGCTACATAATATACTATAGTTTTTTCCGTTTAGGTAATCACAAGTGAAGAAGCTGAAAGACGGGGACAGTTATATGACAATAAAGGAATCACATATCTCTTTGATCTGGACTATGAATCTGATGAATTCACAGTGGATGCAGCTCGATACGGCAATGTGTCTCATTTTGTGAATCACAGCGTAAGAAGACATACATAAACTTTAGACACGACTAACAATTCAACCTCGTACTATTTTCCATAGCTAAAGATTAATTGTCTTTAAGCTACATATCCTTTTAATTTTTCCAAAATATGTATTTTACAATGAGAGTAGCATCTGTTAAGTTACGGTATTATTGCTGTATTAGGAAAATTAAACATTGAGGTTCCTACCAAATATTAATAGCACGTATTTTGCGAAAGTCTTTACATGTATTACTTCACTTAAACTTTGTATGGTAGGTATTATTTTTATATCACAATGAGCGGAGCAATTAAGAGGTGAAATGGGCCGGGCGCGGTGGCTCACGCTTGTAATCCCAGCACTTTGGGAGGCCGAGGCGGGTGGATCACGAGGTCAAGAGATCGAGACCATCCTGGTCAACATGGTGAAACCCCGTCTCTACTAAAACTACAAAAAATTAGCTGGGCATGGTGGCGTGTGCCTGTAATCCCAGCTACTCAGGAGGCTGAGGCAGGAGAATTGCCTGAACCCAGGAGGCGGAGGTTGCGGTGAGCCGAGATCGCGCCATTGCACTCCAGCCTGGGTAACAAGAGCGAAACTCCGTCTCCAAAAAAAAAAAAAAAAAAAAAAAGAGGTGAAATGTCCAAGAATCACATACAACTTTGTTTCTTAATGGAAGTTAATACAACTAAATTTTAGGATGTACAACTAAAGGTAAATGTATTTTTTTTAAATGTAAATAACTTTTTATAAAATTTAAAGATTTGTAGAGTATGTAGGGTTATTTTTCTAAATTATAAATTAGTATTTTTCTTTTAATGTTTGAAAGCACTTGGAATATAGCTGGAACTTAACTGCAGAATCCTGGACTCTATAAAAACTATTTCCAAAAATTAGGGAAGTTAATAACTGTGGGTTACCTACTAAGTACCAAGTGGATAATACAATATTGGGCTTGTGAGGTTGACATTATCTTCATTTTGTAGATATTTTTTAGATAATAAGGAAAATGTGTCTCAGTAAGTTGTATAGCTGAACAGGAAGTAGACCGCATTAAACTTCTGATGGATTTCGTAGTAAGAAATGAGTGTATGATTAGCAGAGACCTTCTGGTCCCTTGTTTTCTGATTAAACATAAAAGAATTTTTTTCTTAATGATAAATTTGAGATACTCTCAAAATAGAGAAATTCTATCCAAGGACCATTAAACAATTTTGATTTCTTAATATGACTCACTATATCTCTTTTCTTGCATATTAACAGTTTGGACCAAAAGTTTAAGCAGCTCAACTCCATGCAGTGTAAAATTTGAGCTCTGTAGTCCAGATTTGATTTTTTAACACAGTTATTCTAGTTCTTTAAAGTATATGCCTTACTGAAATAGTTACAGGTGAAATAATAATATCTGGGATTTGCATTGAAATTCTCCAGGAAAAAAAAGTTGGGACTAGATGAATAAGACTAAGGCACTAAGTGTGTCATCCAAAGGTCCACAGCTTATCTGACAGCTAATAGTAGAGCCTAGGTCTTCTAATTGTTGAAGCTACAGAGTGGATACATAGGGATTTCTTATTTTCTCTATTTTATACTTGTCTCAGATTTTTCTAAGGGAAAACAATATTTTAAATGCACATGCCTCAAAGACCTCTAAGCAATAAGCAACTTAATTTCCAGTGGAACTTAAGCTAAATCTCTAGGAAAGTAAACATTTTATATGGCACGTAGAAGGATTTGTTCACATGGTTTTTACTTAAATGGGTTCTAATGTTCTTTTTTAGTGCGACCCAAATCTTCAGGTGTTCAATGTTTTCATTGATAACCTCGATACTCGTCTTCCCCGAATAGCATTGTTTTCCACGAGAACCATAAATGCTGGAGAAGAGCTGACTTTTGATTATCAAATGAAAGGTATGCTTCTCAAGTACAGTCTCATTGGTATAGTTTCAATATAAGAACTAAATCAGACTAGGAAGAGACCTTAGATATCTGAACAAAACTAATATTAAAGATGAAAACTTGAGACACTTCGTTTGTTATTGTAACGTCCAAAGCTAATCTGACAGCTAATACTAGAATGCATGTCTGCCTGACCTTTGGCTGATGAATGGTTCTACATCGTGTTGCCTCCTTTTTTCAGAACTGCCATTTTGGAAACGGATTCATTTATTACACTATCTTTTCTTTATACTACTTACATATTTGTTTTTAATTGTGGGCTAAGCATGGTGGCTCCTGCCTGTAATCCCAGCACTTTCAGCTTGAGCCTAGGAATTCAAGACAAGCCTGGGCAACATGGTGAAACCCTGTTTCTACAAAATATGAAAAAACTAGCCAGATGTGGTGGCACGTGCCTGTAGTCCCAGCTACTTGGGAGGCTGAGGTGGGAAGATGGCTCGAGACAGGGAGGTTAAGGCTACAGTTGAGCTGTGATAGAATCACTGTTCTCTAGCACGGACGACAGAGACCCTGTCTCAAAAAAAAAAAAAAGATAAGCCGACATTTTTAAATTTTTACTAAGAGATATAATTCAAAAGATTGAAAATGATTTAAATCACATAAAAATTTATTCTGTTCCTACTTGAACCTGGCTTTTAAAAAGAACATTTAATTCTCTGGTTTATTGTGACAGTATAAATGTTTTTTTTGTCTGAGAATGATGCCCTTTTACATATTGCTATGGCTTAACCTCTTACATACTATGTTCATATACTGTGTGAAATGAAGGTGTATTAGATATTTCCAGTGAGTTTCATCATTTCAGAAATCCCTTCTCACAAATACAGGCTAACAACATAACCTTTACCTGTTATTAGCCCACACCATCCTTTCAAGACAATTCATTGTGATTTGACTCTGAATATTCACATTCATTTATAAATATTTCAAAGGGAACTACATTTCCTTGGGAGTTAACTCACTCTAAGGGTCTTGAGCATGTAAGTACCCTCTAACACTAATAATAAAGCTAATATAATAGAAAATCTCAAATTCATTCTAAATAGTTTTAACTCTCTTTCTCCTGTATGTCTTTTTCTGTGTCTTCAGGTTATGGAGATCTATCTTCAGATTCTGTTGACCACAGCCCAGCCAAAAAGAGGGTCAGAACTGTATGTAAATGTGGAGCTGTGACTTGCAGAGGTTACCTCAACTGAATTTTCAGGAAATAGAGCTGATAATTATAATTTTATTTCCTAATGTTGACATTTTTAAAAATATGTATTTGGAACTCTTATCAAGATTATACCTATGTTAATTTACAATTCATGTTTCCAAACATTTGCCAAATGTATTACTGATGCCTCTGAAGAGAGGGTCACTGGGTCTCATAGACTGATTTGAAGTCTACATATTTAGTGCTTAGAGACCAAACTAATGGAAGGCAAACTATTTACAGCTCCATTTATATGTACTTAAGTCTATGTGAACAGAGAAATGCCTCCCGCAGTGTTTGAAAGTGTTAAGCTGGTAATTTAATAATTGCTGAGAGATCAAACATTCAACTTGCCATACACCTCAAATTTGGAGAAGTAGAGTTATTGGGCAAATTTACCAGTTCTGTTTTTGCTACTATATTGTCATTCCTGTTTTAATATTCACTGTACGTGTATTTGAGATAAATAGGTGATACTGAGTTTTATACTCTATTTTCTACTTTTTCATTAAAATATTGGCATCTCAATGATACAGAAATTTAAGATATACAATTAAATGTAAAAATTAATTTCAGCTTCATTTCATATTTTGAAGCAGTCTAGAGTGTTGTGAAGAGTGTATGTCTGAACCTGTAATTCTTAAAAGACTTCTTTATCTTCTAGAAGAAAAATCTCCAAAGAGCTCCCTCTACAAGTCCAGAATGGCTAGCTGTTATGCGTCTTTGAAAGGACAGGATAGTGGGACCAGGATGGTTTTTTGGAGTACCAAGCAAGGGAAATGAAGCACTGTAAGGGCGCCTCTTAGTAATATGAATTAGGAAATGTGTCCAGTGCCTCTGGTCTAAACAGTAAAACAAGCTACCTGGAGAGCAGCTGTACCTAATAATACTGTAATGTACATTAACATTACATCCTCTCAATTTCAAGCAGGTGTAACAGTTCCTTTCCACCAGATTTAATTATTTTTATATTTTCTGCATGATGTTCTTAAAAAGTAGTCTATATTTTTGAACTGATACTTGTGTTATACATGAATTTTTTTAGATGTGATAAAGCTAAACTTGGCCAAAGTATGTGCCTGAATTACGAGACCTTTTTATTAGTCAACCTATGAAGACTAAAATAGAATATGTTAGTTTTTAAGGGGGTGGGAGGGTTCCGGCATAGTATTGAATCTCAATCAGGAAAAATCACACTTGTCTGAGTCTGAGATTTCTAATCGTGTTGTCAGAAGTGAAGGTAAGTGCAGCAAATAAATCTAGCTTTCCAGTATTCCTAATTTTTACCTAAGCTCATTGCTCCAGGCTTTTTACCTCAAATAAGCTTGGGTAAAATTGAACCGACTTCAAGAATGCAGCACTTTATAATCTTTACCTTTTTCTTGGGAGAAGCTAGACTTTATTCATTCTATTGCTATCACAACTTTACTTTGTTTACGTGTTTGTAGCCTCAGAGTCTGTTAACCAAAACTGCAGAATGGGGGCGCTGGGCATGGTGGCTCACGCCTGTGATCTCAGCACTTTGGGAGGCTGAGGCGGGTGGATCACCTGAGGTCAGGAGTTTGAGACCAGCTTGGCCAACATGGTGAAACCCTGTCTTTGCTGAAAATACAAAAATTAGCCAGTCATGGTGGCCTGTATTCCCAAGCTACTGAGGAGGTTGAGGCAGGAGAATCACTTGAACCCAGGAGGCGGAGGTTGCAGTGAGCCAAGATCATGCCACTGTACTCCAGCCTTGGTGACAGAGTGAGAGTCTGTCTCAAAAAAAAAAATTTTTTTTGTAGAATGTGTCAAGAAAAAATACTTTCTTAATGGCATTTGTGTTTTATGAAAACTCAGTCACATAGTGTCCGTGTTAAGAGTCGCAGGTTTACAGGTTGTCCCCAGTGGCCATACTTTGTGATTCTTACGGGTTTAAAGATGTGATTTTTAAAAAATCAGCGTTTTACCATGTAGTTATTTGATCTCCACTTTTTTGTGTTGAACAAAAGTATAAAACTGGAAGGCAAAGAAAAAAGACTATTTTCAGTAAACATGTAGTTTTATTAATAGAATGTAATGGGCCCTTAAGATCTTAGGTACTTGAGTTATCTTTGTTATTCAGATGCTGAACTTAAGCAGTGAGAAAATAGAAACTAAAGGAAGTTATTAAGGGAATTAACTATTTAAAGTCAACATTTAGCTTATTCATCATACTGGTTTCTTGAAAATGACTATTTGTTTTCAGTGTAAGACAAATATCAAAGGTAATAGATCAACTGTAAAGTGTAAATCTACTGTACATATTATATCGATACCATCATTTTCAGGATCTACATAAAAGAGGATTGTGATAGATAATTTAGTAATCTCAGGCTTTTTTTCTCCCATATCTGAAATTTAGACAATACTTGTTTCTCTTTTAGTTCATCAATTTCTCTTAGCAAAATAGGTTGGGCATTTGACATTCTATTTACCATGGCTTAGCTTTGTTTGTTTTAGAGTCATTTCCAGTAAGACTAAAAAGGGCAGAAAAATACTGATACAGTCCTCATTACCTGCTAACAAGATTAGCCAAAGGTTTATAAACATTTCCTTTAAGTGTTACTTTCCTTTTTTTTTTGACACAGAGTTTCACTCTCGTTGCCCAGGCTGGAGTGCAATGGCATGATCTGATCTGGCTCACTGCAACCTCTGCCTCCCAGGTTCAAGCGATTCTCCTGCCTCCCCAGTAGCTGGGATTACAGGTATGCGTCACCATGCCTGGCTAATTTTGTATTTTTAGAAGTGACAGAGTTTCTCCATGTTGGTCTGGCTGGTCTTGAACTCCTGACCTCAGGTGATCTGCTTGCTTCAGCCTCCCAGAGTGCTGAGATTACAAGCATGAACCACTGTACCCGGCCTTAAATGTTACTTTCCCTTTAAGATAGTTCATGGTTCATGCATTTGATATTACACTTGATCCTGGCTAAAGGGCCAAGGACTGATGGTTCATGCATTTGAAAATTAAAAGTACAATTTGACATTTAGCTAGCATAATGTGAATACTTCAGAAGTTCTTTAACACTCTCACTCACCAGATGTGTAAACATACTATGGTGAATACTGTCAGGAAATGCAAAGGAAGTTTAGAAGTCAGAGCCGATACTTACTGATGAAGTCTTCTGTGGCTTTTATATGTATTCATGTGCTTCTCGTGAACCTGTCAGGTTGGTGTTATCATCCCTATATTACTCCTAAGGTAAGAAGGTTAGCCTGGTAAGATAACATGCCAAGATCACCCAGTGAATAGGCCATAAACTTTATTTTGAAACGGAGTCTCACTGTCACCTAGGCTGGAGTGCAGTGGCATGATCTCGGCTCACTACAACCTCCATCTCCCAGGTTCAAGCGATGCTCCTGCCTCAGCCTCCTGAGTAGCTGGGACTACAGGCACGTGTCACCATTCCTGGCTAATTTTTTATATTTCGAGTAGAAATGGGGTTTCACTGTCTTAGTCAGGATGGTCTCAATCTCAAACATTTATTCCTAGAACTCCTCTCCAATGTAAATGTGGCTGACTGCCAAGTGTCTGTTATATTATTTTGAAACTTCAGTTTCGGTGGGGCACAGTGGCTCATGCCTGTAATCCCAGCACTTTGGGAGGCCAAGGTGGGTGGATCACCAGAGGTTAGGAGTTCCAGACCAGCCTGACAAATACGATGAAACCCCGTCTCTACTACAAATAAAAAATTAGCCATGTTTGCTGGCACACACCTGTAATCCTAGCTACTGGGGAGGCTGAGGCGGGAAAATCACTTGAACCCAGGAGGCAGAGGTTGCAGTGAGCCAAGTTTGGGCCACTGCACTCCAGCTTGGGTGACAGAGACTCTGTCTCAAAAAATTTTTAAAAACAGAAACTTCATGTTTCCTCTTATAATTTATGATTCTTGAAGTAAAAACCAAGCAGTGGCTACAGTGAGTCCTGCTCATGTTTATACTCTTTTGGAGAGACAATATAGCAGTTGAGAGCGTGGATTCTGAAGCCCAACTGCCTGTGTTTGAATTTTGCCTGTGCCTCAGTTATGTGAACTAACCTCTATGCCTTCATCTCCTCATTTGGACATGGGGATTAGAAATGTATCTACCTCAAAGGGTGGTTGTGAATATATATAGTATGTAAAAAAAGAGCATGATCAGGGTAAGCACCAAATATAATTTCTGGTAATTAGTATCAGTTTCTTGATCAAGTCTGTTACAGTGTTTTAGCCCTTAAATTCATTCAGCCAGCATTTATAATGGCCAGACTCACATGTAAAACAGTAAACATGTAACATTATGTAAGAATATGATTATAAAATAACAGGAGGCCGGGCGCGGTGGCTCAAGCCTGTAATCCCAGCACTTTGGGAGGCCGAGGCGGGTGGATCACGAGGTCAAGAGATCGAGACCATCCTGGTCAACATGGTGAAACCCCGTCTCTACTAAAAATACAAAAAATTAGCTGGGCATGGTGGTGTGTGCCTGTAATCCCAGCTACTCAGGAGGCTGAGGCAGGAGAATTGCCTGAACCCAGTAGGCGGAGGTTGCGGTGAGCCGAGATCGTGCCATTGCACTCCAGCCTGGGTAACAAGAGCGAAACTCCGTCTCAAAAAAAAAAAAAAAAAAAAAAAACAGGAATATATTCAGAGGAATGTTTACAGGCATTTTTTTGAACACCCACTTTGGATCATAAGGTACACTGTTAAAACTAAGTCTTAATTATCAGTGAATATATACAAATATGTCAGCTATGTCTTAGCTCTGAGTCTTAATTGTTACCCTACTTAGTCTGGTAGCTCCAATACTTCTTTTTGGTCTGATTACTGTGCAGCATCATAACACATCTCAAGTGTTAGTTTACTGATCTACAAACTGTGTTAAGTGATGTCTCTGCTTTTGCATCCATAATCTGTGAAATGTCAGAATACCAGTGTTCATGAATATTTCTTAAAACTTGTTAATCTCCTCATATGTAACACAAAAGCCTAACCTATTGATGGACTTCAAGGATGTTGAGTGACACAGAACACACATATGCTTTAGTATTTTAAATTTTTTTTCTTGAGATGGGATCTTGCTTTGTTGTCCAGGCTGGGCACAATCAGCTCACAGCAGTTTCAACCTCCTGGGCTCAATCGATCCTCTCACCTAAACCTTCCAGATAGCTAGGACTGCAGGTGCACACCACCATGCCTGGCTAACATTTTGTAGAGACAGGGTCTCCTTGTATCGCCCAGACGGGACTCAAAACCCTGAGCTCAAATAAGCCTCCCAAAGTACTGGGATTGCAGGCATGAGCTACTGTGCCTGGCCACCATTTCATTATTGAGCATTTTCTTTTATATCCTAATTGTCTACTTTTAATTTTACCACCATATTCACATCAAGGTTGAGTGATTTAACATCTTTGGTGACAAATAAGGTGCTGATTTGGTCTATAGCCGTCAGTTTATCATAATAGATCCAAGGTAAATTCTGTCAAAGATAATGGTCTGTCATGCTGAATGTTCCATGTGTACTTCAGGAGATATATTCTGCTCTTTTGGGGTGAACTGTTCTATAAATGTCAATTTAATCCAGTCAGTTTATGGTGATGTTCAGGTCTATTTTCCTATTGATGCACTGTACATATACTAGTTGTTACTAAGGAGGGATGTTAATCCCTAACTGTAATTGTATATTAGTTTATCTTTTCAGTTGTTTTAGCTTCATAAATGCTTGGAGCTGCTGTTAGGTGCATGTACATATAGGATTATTTTGTCTTCTTGGTGAATTAGACCTTTTATAATTAGGAAATTGTCCATTATATAGTCCCTCCATCTTTGTTTACATGGTCTTTTTTCCATCCTGTTAACCTACCTATATCACTTAAATCGAGTTTCTTTATAGTTGGCAGATCATTGGGTTATGTTTTTTCCCTGTGTCTCTCTTAGTCATTGATGTGCTTAGACCATTTACATTTAATATAATAATTGATATGTATGGGTTTAGTTCTACCATCTTACTTGCTTTTTTTTTTTTCTCTTTGAGACAGAGTTTCACTCTTGTTGCCCAGGCTGGAGTGCAGTGGCACATTCTTGGCTCACTGCAACCTCCCAGATTCAAGTGATTCTCCTGCCTCGGCCTCCCGAGTAGCTGGGATTACAGGCACCATCATCACGCTGTTTTGTTTTTGTTTTCATTTTCAGTAGAAACAGGGTTTTAACCATATTGGTCAGGCTGCTCTTGAACTCTGACATCAGATGAGCCACCCGCCTCATCCTCCCAAAGTGCTGGGATTAAAGGCACGAGCCACTGCGCCCAGCCTTTTCCTTTTTTAAAACAGGATCATGCTCTGTCACCCAGGCTGGAGTGCAGTGGCACAATCATGGCTCACTGCAGCCTCTATCTCCTGGACTCAAGTGATCGTCCCACCTTAGCCTCCTGAGTAGCCCACCACACCTAGCTTTTTTTACTTTTTTGTAAGTAGAGACACATCTCACTGTGTTGGAAAGGCTGGTCTCGAACTCCTGAGCTCAAGTGATCGCCTACTTCAGCTTCCCAAAGTGCTGGGATTACAGGTATGAGCCACCATACCCAGCCAGGTTATTTGAACATTTTTAAGTATTACATTTTCTCTATTGTAATATTGACCGTCATCTGGTTTTTTAGTGGTTGCTCTAGGTTGAAGCACTTTGAATTATTAAATATCTAAGAGTGAGCATTTTCTTTTTTTGACTACTATACTCTCACCAGTTGCCAGCTTCTCATATAAATATTGT